AAATCAGAGACGCCATGAATGTTGTCGCGAACAGGGAGGATGAGAGCACAGTAAACCTCCAGGTCTCGTAAAAATGAAGTGTTCAACTCCTGTAGTCGGCCACACGGACGGAGCCTTCACATGCAAAGCGTCGATGGTCTCGTAGGGACAGATTTTCGATTAGGAAATGTGGTAGTTCATCTTGCACTGGTTGAAGTCCGAAACGGAGATTTGCATCTGGACAATCACGGCGGGTCAGACGAAGATAACGGGTGAATGACCGAACATTGTGGTCTAATTTCAGAAGTATGTAATAGATGCGGGGGCTGACCGTGACCATGGTGAGATCAGTAGTTGGGTTGAACCAATTACAGGGTTAAGGTCGTTCTTCGAAGAACGCGAATATGTATTTTGCATAGAGGTTTCTGTTTGAAGGGAACCCGAAACCGTATTGAGACTCGAGCAAATGGAAGGAGCCCCGAGCAAATGAAACTGCCATTTCTATTCATTTGCGTATGCGACAGGTCCGGAATCGCTTATTCCTATGAGACCATGCTTTTCTCATAAAAGGGAGGTTGCAACCCTAGTCCGTTTCGAGATCTTGCTCTTCATCGTCTCATCGTTCCTGACGACGAAGCGTGAGCAAGAACCGAGAACAATGGCGAACAATGATTCTACACCCGGCGTTGAGACGTTTGAGCTCGATTGCGAACTCCGGCACATTGTGTTACGGTTCTGGGGAAAGAATGGGATACGACTCGGAGCAGCTCAGATCAGTCCTGAGAGCCCACCCCGAAGTATCTGCCGGCCTGAAAGTCAAGGCTCATGTTGATGCACGTATTCCCGATTACCGTTTCAAATGGAGTCTCGTCGAAAAATCAAGAAAGAGAGGGAGGAATCTGTACTTGTTGGCTGTAGACCTGGATAAAGTAAGAGGTAGGGTGAGCCAAGACTTCGAGTCGTTCCACAGGTCGGTTCTCCGACTTATCCCATCGTGCTCAAGATGCATGATGTGCCTTCATCTGATCTTACTGCCAAACCTCGTCACGATAGACCCAGCCTTGTTCGAGATCGAGAGCATCGTCGCCGGGGCCATTGAAACGTTCATGGACGAATAGCGCCGTCTCCGTAAAATGATAATAAGAGAGAAAACTATGATATTTTAATTGAGTTGTCGTCTCTGT